GGCGGTGAAAGAGAGAGAGGGGCGAGAACACGCACGAGAGCAAGCCCACATCACGTTATGCACTTGCCCGGTCTGGTACATCCCTAACGAGGGAAATTCCATCCCCCCCCCCGCTCTCATCCCTGGAAGATGCCCCAGAAAGACGCCGTTTTTGATTTTTGCAGGTTTCTCTTTCAAGCGTGTTTTGGCCAAAGTCCCAGGGGGCTGAGGCGAGCACCGGTGTGTTTGTGTGTGGGGGGGGGCACAGCCGTCCTTGCTGCCCGCAGGTCCCAGCGGCCCCTCAGCTGAGCCCTTTGGCAGAGGCAACAGGGCTGCCCGCCCAGACGGCTGCTCCTCCCGTCAGAGCGGGCCTCGGGCCAAATTGCAATGGATCCCTGGAAGTGCCACAGGCTGCCTGGAGTGCCCTCTCCTGTGGAACGCCATCCCCCCCCCCCCGGGGACCGGCTACAGGAGGTTCTCCGGAGGCGTGGCCGGCACTTTCTCCCTGGTTTCCAGATTCTCTCTCTGGTTGCGGGGGTGTCAGCAACGTTCCCAGGATGGGTTTCTGGCTGGGCGAGGGCTCAATGGCATTCTGTTTGTTGGGGGTTCTCCTGATGGAGGTCCAGGGCCTCAGCCTGTGGAGGGGGTGGGGGCAAGGCTGCCCTCCTCCGGACGCATCCTGGGTGCACTTCCCAGTGCCATGCCTGCCTGCCTGCCCACCCACACTGCACCCTTTGCTGGCTTAGCCTCCTTTTGGTGGACAATCCAGGTGCGGAGTGAGACTAGAACACAGACCTCAGTCCTTCACCCCTTGAGCTGAGCCTGCGAAACTGGGGCAGGCCTGGCTTCAGGCAGCCGCCCTCTCTGTTCTCTCCCGGCCACCTTGTGCCCCAGCTCAGGGCTCTGATGATGGCTTTTCGTAGCCATTTGGCCTCCCACACCGAGGCTCCAGGGAAGAGGCCTCTGGGCCAACCTGAGCTGGCCTGGCCGGCGTCTGCCTTTTGGTGCAGGTGGGCCGGCCAGGCTGGGGCAGAGGGGCTGCCCCCTCCGGGGCGGGCTTGGGCGCCTGCCTTTGCACTTCCAGACCACTGGCTGCTCGGTCTGTTTTCATCAGGAGTCCGGCTGCCCTTTGGGTGGAATAAACACCTCTTGGACAGGCCGGCCATGAATGGGGTCCGCACGCTTTTCCTGGCGGGGATGCCCCAGCCCTGCCAGTTCTCAAGGGGAGGGCCTGCTCCGTTTGTGGGAGCGCGTCTTGCTCGGGAGCAGGGGCAGCGGTTCCCTTTGGTGGAGGTGGAGTTCTCCGTGAGGGTGCTTTGCTCTCGGCGATTTAAGACGTCGGCGGCAGAGGAGGGGTGGGGGGGAACACCTGCCTTCTCCGACGGGTTTCCTCCGTGAGGGCCAGCCTGCCGTGGGGCCCCCTGCGAACGCCCCCCCCCCGCCGCCATTGCTTTTGCCCTTGCAAGCTATCTGGCATCACTTGCTGACCCACCCCTGAGCCTCCTGGGGGGTGGGGGTGGGGGGGCTTTCCTTTCCCCCTCCCCCCTGCCTTGTGCTTCACTCTGCCTTGACCCCAACCGCACACCTCCAAGAAAGGAAGCGAAAAAAGGAGCCGGCTGAAAGCGCCCTCCCCTGGCCAAGTGCCCTCGGCTGCCTTTGACTCGACGCCTCTGGCCGGCGTGGGGTTGCTGCCTCGTGTCCCCCAACGTCGATAGGGCTCCCTGTCAGAGCCCTTGGGACCCACGGAGCCTGGCTGTTGGGCAGGGGGGGGGGAGGAGGTCTTTGGCCTGATCTGACTGCTGCCTCGCTCCGAGTTCTGGGGTTGGAGAGGTTGCCCCGAGGCTGGGCGCTCCCTGGATCTGGGCAAACATGAACACCTGCGGCCTTTGCAGGTAGCGCGAGTGGTTGGAGAGCAGCTGGCAGTTCATAGAATCTCAGAACCATGGCATTGGAAGAGGGACCACTAACATCCATCAAGTCCCACCCCTGCTTCAGGAATCCAAATCAAAGCCTACCTGACAGAGGGTGGTCTATTTTTCTCTTGAAGGCCTCCAGCGTTGGAGAGCGCACAACACCTCCTCCCTCTGCGGTCATGGGTCCCATTGTCCTACTGCTCTAACAATTAAGAAGGTTCTCCTGATATTCTGGCTAAGTCTGGCTTCCTGTCGCTTGAGCCCATTAGTATATGCTCTGCACTCTGGGATCATCGAGACGAGATCCTGCCCCTCTGTGTGACAGCCTTTCAGGTCTTTGACAAGGGCTCTCCTCTCTCCCTTCAGCCTTCTCTTCTCAAGGCTAAAGATGCCCAGTTCTTTCAGCCTTTTCTCAAAGGGCTTGGTTTCCAGCCCCCTGGTCCACACCCTCGCCGCCCTCCCTCTGCACTTGTTCCAGTTTGTCGGCATCGCTTCTTGAAGTCCGGTGTCCAGAACTGGGCGCCAGACTCAAGGGGAGGCCCTAACCAGTGCCGAATAGAGGGGGGTTGGTACCTCAAGAGATCTGGAGACTATCCTTCTGTTAATGCACCCTTAAAACGGCATATGCCTTATTTGCTGCCGCCTCACACGGTTGACTCATATTCAGCTAAGTGACCTACAACCATTCCAAGAGCCTTCTCACTCATAATATTACTGAGCCAAGTATCCCCCATCTTGTAACTGCATTTGGGGTTTTCCGCCTAGGAGTAGAACTGTGCATTTATCCCTGCTAAATTCCTGGTTATCCTTTTCAGTCCAGTGCCCAAACCTCTCAAGATCTTTTTGAATTTTGTTTCTGTCTTCCAGGGTATTTGCTCTTCCACCCAATATTGCGTCATCTGCAGATTTGATAGGTATTCCCTGCCCTCCCTCATCCCAGTCATTAATAAAAATGTTGAAGAGCACCAGGCCCAGGACTGCGCCTTGGCGTACCCCCACTTGTGACCTTCTCTGAGTTGGAGAAGGAGCCATGAGTAAACACTCTCCGAGTACAATTCCGTAACCACCTGACACTTTGTTCCATCCAACCCACAGCGAATAGCTTGCTAATCAGAACATCATGGGGCATTTTGACCCTTGCTAATCAGAACATCATGGGGCACTTTGACCAAGACTTTGCTGAAGTCAAGATATACTATGTCTACAGCATTCCCATTGTCTACCAGGGAGGTGACCGGTTAAAAAAAATTAAATACTATGTCTCTGGCAGGGTTTGTTCTTGACAAATTCATGTTGGCTTCTAGTTATTACTGCATTCTTTTCAAGATGCTTGCATCGTTACCGTTTTATATTCTGTTCCAGAATTTTCCCTGGGATTGATGTCAGGATGACTGGTCTCTAGTTCCCAGGTTCCTCCTTTCTTGCCCTTTTCGAAGATAGGGGCAACATTAGCTCTCCTCCAGTCATCTGGCACTTCACCTACCCTACGTGATTTCAAGAAAGCAATAGAGAGCGATTCTACCAGCCAGTTCCCTCAATGCTCTTGGATGCAGTTCCTCTGGCCCTGGAGATTTGAACTTGTTCAAGGTAATAAGATATTCCTTGGCTATTTGTTTTTCCATCTCCACCTGCAATCCTGTCCCTTGCACTTCACATTTCTCTGGGGGGCGGGGCGGTCTGTCCTTGGAGAAAAGATCGAGCTGAAGTCATAACGGAGCACTTCTGCCATTCCTTTGTCATCTGGTTTCATATCTGAGGATTGATCGAGTTGTTCTGTAGCTTTTTAGAACAGATTAAAGAAAAGCTAATTGTACATTTTATAATCTTACCTTTATTTTGTTGCTTCCCTGAGGCCTGGGCAGGCTGTTCCACTCCAACTCCCATCCTCCACTGGGCTGAGCAGCTTCCTGCTTCTCTTCAAGGGCCCTGTCCAGTCTTAGCTGTCTCTGGGTAGG